CTCTCTCTCTCTCTCTCGGAAAGCTGTGGCTGGGCCAAGCCAGCAAGCTCTCCTTGGGGCTCTTCAGCATTCCTTTTATTTCTTCTTTTTGGAAATCTTGGCTGAGGAACGAGTGCCAGCCGCGGCAGATGCTTCCATTGGACGACCCTCCTTTTCCTCCTCAACTTCCTTCTCTCGTGACCCCCTGGCTGGCTGTGGAAGGGCAGGGAGGGGGTGCATGCACAGGAAGACCCGCCCTGTGCGCACCTTTGCTGCACTTTGGCTGAGCCCGGCTGCTCACTTGAGCAAGGTCTCCCTGCACGTGTGCACTGTCCCGACCCCCACCACAGCCAGCCAGGGGGTCGCGAGACAAGGTGGTGGAGGAGGAGGATCGTCTAAATGGAAACCGCCACCGCGGCTGGCGCTCGTTCCTCAGCCAGCCAGGATTTCCTAAAAGGAATAGCAAAGAGCCCCAAGGAGAGCTTGCTGGCTTGGCCCAGCCGCAACTTTCAGATAGAGAGAGGCAGACAGATAAAAAGAGAGAGAGACATAGAGAGAAACACACATACACAGCGGGGAGATGGGGGGAAAAGAGAGAGATAGACACACAAAGATACAGAGAGAGTGGGAGAGAGAGGAAGATAGGGAGATGGGGGACAGAGGCATACAGATACAGAGAGACGGGAGAGAGAGGAGAGGAATACAAAGATAGAAGGAGCGACAGAGGGGGAGAGAGATACACACACAAAGGAGGAGAGATACAGAGTGGGAGAGATAGGGGAAGATAGAGAGGGAAAGATAGAGAAGGTAAGAGAGGGGGGAAGGGGGGAAGAGGGGAGAGAGATACAGAGAAGTGGGTGAGAGGGTGGGAGATAGGCAGTGGGAAGAGAGACAAAAGAGTTTTGTGGCTGGGTAGGTGTGGCTGACTGAGTAGGAATGAGTGACATCGAGTGGGCTACACCCACCCAGGTTTTGTGGCTCTCAGTGGTTTTTTGTTTTTTGTTTTGCTGTGGAAAACGGGTCCAAATGGCTCTTTGAGGGTTTAAGGTTGCAGGCCCCTGGTCTAGTTTAATGAAAAGAAGAACTAGGGGGTGACATGATAGCAGCGTACCAAGAAGCAATGGATGGAAACTATTCAAAGAGAGAATCAATGTACAACTAAAGAGAAATTTCCTGACAGTAAGAACAATTAATCTGTAGAATAACTTGCCTCCAGAAATTGTGGGTACTGTTAGGAATGTAAGTCACCTAACAGGTATTTGGGTTGAAAATATATAAACCAGGACAAACATTTTAATACTGTATCTTTAAGAGAATCCTAAAAGTGTAATTGGATGTGGTTTCTCAAACAGCCATAAGATGGAGCCAGAAACCTGGGTTGTTTAGTCTTAGTCTTAGAAGAAGTCTCAGTGAGTCTTTGTTTTTCCTTCTGTTGGAGAATATTTCCGTTCTTCTTAATTGACTGATATTCTTGGATTTGATGTAAATCTGATACTGAACTGTTTTTGACACTGGACTTTGTTCTTGGATTATCCCTGGACTGAAAACTGACTGATTTAACGTGTGAATGACTTTGGACTGTTTTTAAACTTTGCTTAAACCTTTATTGAAAGTAAAAAACCTACATTTACTGTACAGTGTATCTGTGTGCTGTGTGTGCATTATTCAAACACTACTCTCAATACGTCTCCCTGTATGCGCTCATTCTCCTAACAGGGAATTACCTGAACAGGTATTCCAACACTGGAGGTGTTTGAGAGGAAATTGGACAGCCGTTTAGGTGAAATGTTATAGGGCTTCCTGCCCGAGCAGGGTGTTGGACTAGAAGACCTCCAAGATCCCTACCAACTGTGTTATTCTGTTCCATTGTTCTCAAATTCCCAAAGCAGAGATATGCACTGTGTTAAATAGCAGTGTGTTGCATGTCCTAATTTTAGGTGAGAAAATGGGCAAATATGAAAGTTACTTTCACTTAAGAAATATTTGGGGAAGTTTTATCAAGTTGATTGATTCTGCAAAACCTTCAGTACCTTTCAGTAAAGTAATCCAACTTCTAGATCAACTTATCTATCCCTCTGTCTATCATTCATTGATCTAGTAGTCTGAGCCATTGGCTGAATGGAAGAAAACAAAGAAGAAAAAATTCCCTGGGAAAGTCATTTCTCAATCTTTCCAAAGTGGGAATAGTTGATCTCCTAATTGAGGTGCAAATCAGAGGACTGGAAATTATTTTGTAGCCTAAAGTATTTTGATTACATGCTCAACACGGCCACTCCCTTTGGATTTTAATAGTCTGCTTTATTTTTTAATATTTTATTTTTGAACTAGAGGTTATAAATAAGGCTTTTTTAAAATGGTAATGTGGCAATGTGAATATTCATTTATTTTTCATTAGCCTTGCATAATTCCAAGTCAAAGAATTATAAAAAGAATGTGTCTTTAGCAGTTTCTTCCACTTTCTTCTTCTATGGCTTCTGACAAGGAAAGTCATTGGGGGAAGCTGGATTTTCTTAACAACTACACGATTTACTTAAAAACTGCAGTGGTTTTCTTAACAGCAGTGGCAAAAAAGGTCACAAAGTCGGTTGCGATTCACTTAACAACCACCATGCTTAGCAAGAGCCCCAGTTATGGTCAGAAAACAAGAACCTGTAGGGCTGCTTCAGTTAAGGAGTTAGATACGGGGTTACATGTCTATATCCTCACTCTGATAACTGCAAATCCTAAATGACTGCATCTTAAAAGTCTCTCTAGTGGTCATGCCTGGAAGCCCAGAAATGTTGGACTAAAATATGGAGTTGGCTACAAGAGAGGACTTTTTAAAAATTGCTTCTTGTAAATTCAAAGTTGGAGGAGTACCTAGAAGAACAAGATAACCAGAGGAAGCCATGCTGTCTGACAGAAACTTGAACCTGCTATTCTGCTGTCCATACTGTGGAAGAACACAAAAATAACACCCTTCACTTCATTAAGGGAGAATACCAATTTAATAACTTTTCCCTTTCTTACTTGATTTGGAGGTTCTTCAACCGCTGTTTGATCTCCATCATAAAAACCGGAAAACTCCATTCTTCGTTTCTCTGTAAGGAATAAATAATTTCAATATGTGTAATTATTAAAATAGGAGGAGGAATACTATAGAAGAGAAGGGATAGTGAAGGTAAGACAGATAGGTAATTGGAGGATCTTTGATTACCTCCTGAGGTGTCCCAACTTGGATTTTCCCAAGGGATCTTCCTGAAAAATAGCTCCTGAGGGGGATTTGATGGATTCTTCTTTCCCTCAGGATCTCTGATCTCCACAGTGAAGCACTTCAAACAGGAGGAAGGAAAAAAGCATAATTAATATACACGACATAAAGTGGATTCTTATATCCAGAACACAACCTCAAAGCCCTCAATATCCATCAGTGAGGTCGAGTGAGAAAACAATGGAACGTCCTACAAGAATCGGTGAGACATTGCCCCATATTATGAATGTCAGAGAAGTTTGGGGGAAGGAGGGGTGAAGTATTCAAAAATATTCTCTATTCCCTTCTGAGCTCCCTAAAGTATCTCACCTGCAACTTGACCTGCTCCTTCTGCTCCTCCGCCTGGCTCAGGAGGAAGCCTTCTGCGAGGGCCACCGCCTGGGAGCTGGTCTCTACTCCACACTCCCGCACCCAGCCCTCCATCTCGGGGGGCAGAAGGAACAGGAACTGCTCCAGAACAACTAGGTCCAGCATCTGCGCTTTGGTGTGCTTTTCTGGTCTCAGCCATCGCCTACAAAAGTCGTGGAGTCGGCTGCAAAGTCCTCGGGGACCCTCAGCCTCCTGGTATTGGATGAAGTTCCATGGCTGAACTTCTGTAGGGAGGATGGTTTCCTCCTCAAGGATCTCCTGATCAGGTCTTGTACAGAACTTCCCACCCTTCCCAGGCTGAACAGCTGAAAGGCCTGTTCCGCTTCCCTCCTTTGCAAAAGGTTGTGTCTCCATTCTTCCTGTTATTCAGAGCAACTCCAAATGGGTCCAAGGACTCTTGTGCATCTCCAGATGCCTTTTCCTTCACAGGACCATTTCTGGGGCCACAGGACGGATCCCTGCAAGTTATTCTGCTCTCCCCCCCCAAGAGAAAATGTTGGCTTGCAAAGATTTCAAATGGCTTTGAGTTTCTGTACCTGGGATGGAAAGAAAAAAAAATAGAAATTAGAATTAGAAAGTGGAATTCAGCCACTGAGCAACCTTCACCCAACCTGCCCGGAGCCCCAAGCGGCTCATCGCAGCGCAGGGCCGTCTCCCAGAGCAGGGCCGGGAAAGAGGCAGCTGGAGAGGCCGGCCCACTTCTCTTCCCCTCGGAGACAGGATCGGGCCCTCGGGAGCCCAGTGCAAATCCTGCCTCCTGGCTTCTCTCCTGTTAGGCCTCCACAAGGCCTCCCCTCGCCCCACTCGGGCTCTTCCCCAGACAAGAGGTGGGAGGGGAGTCCTGCCACCTTCCTGACATCCCCGCTTCTTCCGCCCGCTGCAGAGAGGACGGCTTTGGAGCATGGAAACTGATACGATCGCCCCCCCTCCCCCCGTCACCCGTCGTACGCCTGGATCTTCCCTCTCCAGACTCTCCCGAAGCTTAAGGAGAGCAAGTAGGGTGTCCTAGAGCGGCAAGCGTTTGTGAGCTCACTCACTTAGGGCCTCCTCAGAGAAGAGAGCTGTGCATGTGGGGAAAAACTTTGGATATAGAATAGACTTGGATAAATGGCAGATACTATCGTCTAGAAACTATAAATTAACTATGTCAACAGCCTATAAAGAGAATTAGTATAAGATGTTTTACAGGTGGCATTTACCCCCAACAAGAATTGCCAAGGTGTTTAAAGAGAAGTCGGTGAAGTGCTGGAAATGTCAGAAGTTACCATGATCATACTACTATATGTGTTGGACATGCACAGAAGCTAAAAAGTATTGGACTAGAATCATATGTGGCTGGAGAAAACGATAAAACAATCTATAGATTTAAAACCAGAGACATTTTTATTGGGAATTTTGCCTGTGGGTTATAACAAAGTTAAACCTACTTGATTATCAATGTATTAACAGCAGCTAGGATTGTATTTGCACAAAATTGGAAGAGAGAAAATTCCGATGGATGAGGAAATAATTAAGAAAATAATGGAATGTGCAGAAATGAGTAGATTGACAATGGCAATTAGAGAACAAGAGGGAAAAATATCATAAAATTTGGAACTTATTTTATGAATGGCTAGATAGAAGAGTAAGAAATTGAAATATGTAAGTACAGTATAATATTTATTACTGATAAACCAATGAGTTAGATAAGAGTAAGAAAATGAATGTGAAATATATTATTGAAAATCAATAAATATATTAAGGCTAATACAATAAAGTGATATATGTGATATGAAATACTGATTAGGATTATAAACATATATAAGTAAAATATGTATAATGGTATTATGTGCACAAAGAAATGTGTACTCAACTGACACACTGATGAACTGAAAGGTTTTATTTGTTTCTGTTGTTATAAAAATAAAAAAAATAAAAAAAGAAGTGACCTGTGATGTTCGCCCTCCAGCAAACCAAGGGGGAAAAGCCTGACGTTCCCTTCTCTTGGCAGAAGGTTCCCCTTGGTGGATTTGGCCCAAACTGCCAAGATCGTACAAACAGCGTGGGGGGGGGGGGGAGGACCTCCCCTGAGGGGAAGAGAGAGGGCAGGGATGGGCATAAGAGTAGGAAGAAAGTCCCCCTCAATGGCTCCCTGCCCAAGAAAAGCTTTGTGGTCTCTAGAGGTGGCAATTTCTCCATCTTCCTCTCCTTCCTGTGCATGAACCGTCTGTGGAGATGGAGAAAAATCTCTGGAGGATTTGAATTCGCTTCCCTCAAGAACAGCCACCCTGAAAGCTCAGCAGAGATTGTGGGAGGCCTCAAAAGGGTCCAAATCCTCTCAGAAACAGCTGGACAGTCAGAAGGACCAGGAAGCTGTCTGGGAAAACCCAGCTTCTGTCTTGCGGTTGTTGGGAACTTCAATCTTAAGTGGAGTTAAGATGGAAAACAGGCAGAGAAATCGCAATCAGGAAAATGTTTATTGATTTCTTTAATTCAATATATACAGGTGCCCTTCTAAAATTATTCACAGCCTCACATTGAAGGGGGAAAGCAGAAAGGGCAGAGACCCCTCCAGCCTCTTCTGATGAACATCCCGGGGGATCTATTTCTTCTGCCCTTGGAAACATTCTGAAGAAAAAGAAAACCAGTTCCAAAATGGAGGAAATGCTGAAAGCTGAGTTCGATCTGACTGGCTCATCGTGGATTCAGTCATTAATCTTTCTCAGGTCCATAAAATGAGGACCCAGATTGCTGGGGACAATATGCTGACTTTGTAAACTCCTCAAAGACTGCTATAAAGCTTTGCATATTGTTATGTAAGTCTAAAGCAGAATTGCTATTGCTATATACTTTCTTCCGAGCGTGGATCCTTTTATGAGAAGTCAGATTACCATTCTGAGCAAAGCTCTTTCCACACTCCATGCATTTATATGGCTTCTCTCCCGTATGGATCTTTTTGTGGATAGTTAGTCTATTCTTCAGAGCAAAGGTCTTTCCACATTCCATGCATTTATATGGTTTCTCTCCTGTGTGGATCATTTTGTGGCTACTCAGTACACTGCTATGAGTAAAGGTTTTCCCACACTCCATGCATTTATATGGTTTTTCTCCCGTGTGGACCTTTTTGTGGATAGTAAGTTCATTGCTACGAATAAAAGTTTTCCCACACTGTATGCATTTATATGGTTTCTCTCCTGCGTGTCTCTTTTTGTGGATAGTAAGATCATAGTTACGAGTAAAGGTTTTACCACATTGCATGCATTTATATGGTTTCTCCCCTGTGTGGATAATCTCATGGGAAATAAGATGACCACGTTGAACAAAGGTCTTTCCACATTCCATGCACTTAAATGGCTTCTTCCCTGTATGAATCATCTCATGGGAAATAAGATGACCACGTTGAGTAAAGGTTTTCCCACACTCCATGCATTTAAAAGGTTTTTCCCCTGTGTGGCTCCTATTATGATTAATAAGTTGACTTCTATGAGTAAAGATCTTTCCACACTCCCTGCATTTATATGGTTCCTGTCCTGTGTGGATCATTTTGTGATTTCGAAGTCCATTGCTATGAGTAAAGGTTTTCCCACACTCCGTGCATTTAAATGAATTTTCCCCTGTGTGGATCTTTTTATGGATAGTAAGACTATTGTTGTAAACAAAGGTCTTTCCACACTCCATGCATTTATATGGTTTCTCTCCTGTGTGGATCATTTTGTGGTTTCTAAGTCCATTCCTTTGAGTAAATGTTTTCCCACACTCCATGCATTTAAATGGATTTTCCCCTGTGTGGATCTTTTTGTGGATAGTAAGTCTGTTGTTCAGAGCAAAGGTCTTTCCACATTCCATGCATTTATATGGTTTCTCTCCTGTGTGGATCTTTTTGTGGATAGTAAGTTCATAGCTACGCGTAAAGGTTTTCCCACACTCCATGCATTTATATGGTTTCTCTCCCTTATGTCTCTTTTTGTGGATAGTAAGTTCATAGCTACAAATAAAGGTTTTCCCACATTGCATGCATTTATATGGTTTCTCTCCCGTGTGTCTCCTTTTGTGGATAGTAAGTTCATAGCTACGCGTAAAGGTTTTACCACACTCAATGCATTTAAACGGATTTTCCCCTATGTGGATCACCTGATGGGAAATAAGACTACTTTTTTGAGTAAAAGTTTTTCCACACTCCATGCATTTATATTTCTTTGCTGTGTGGATCACCTGATGGGAATTAAGATTACCTCTGTGAGCAAAGGTTTTTCCACACTCCATGCATTTAAATGGCTTCTCCCCTGTGTGGATCATCTGATGGGAAATAAGATGACCATGCTGAGTAAAGGTTTTTCCACACTCCATGCATTTAAATGGTTTTTCTCCTGTGTGGATCTTTCTGTGCATAGTAAGTCTATTGCTCAGAGCAAAGGTCTTTCCACACTCCATGCATTTATATGGTTTCTCTCCCGTATGGATCGTTTTATGACTTCTAAGTCCATTGCTATGAATAAAGGTTTTCCCACACTCCATGCATTTATATGGTTTTTCTCCTGTTGCTTGTGGGGACTGGGCTACATGGGTTACAGGTGCTTCTGAATACCGTTTCTCCCCAGTGTGAATTCTTTCATAGGAAGTAAGTTGCCTGCTTGTTCTAAAACATGTTCCACTTTCCAAACATTTATAAGGCTTCTCTTCTGTGTCAATCACTTTTTGAGATGTAAGGAAGTTATTTCCAAGAGAAAGAATGAATGT